CCTACACACCCTTTCTAATCTGATTCAGTGCTCTCTCCAATTTCCTTCCAAGTCATCTTCTAAAAATCTCAACACAGTATTCCTCCTAAACTGCATTTCCGCCTCATTCAAATGCTCACTTTATTTTCTCCTTCACATTCTCTCCCCATAACCAAACATGTCAAACCCAAAGGCTAACATGGGCCAAATAAATGAGGCATGTGGCCTGCAGGCCTCGAGTTTGACATGCTTGGTCTACAATCTTTCCCTCCTGCTCTCTTTAATCACACACACACACACACACACACACACACACACACACACACACACACACACAGAATCTTCTTTACTAGATTGTAAGCTGCTTGAAGGGAAATAAAATTATCTTCATAATTATAAATTTAGTATAGTGACTGGAAATGGTAAATATTAAACTAGTATTTGGTGAATACATTAAGTTAACCTATTATCTAACTGGAAGTTCCTATGTGAAGATCTTTCAATAGCATATAAAAACATTTTAAAAAGGTTTGCATCAAAAATACCTGAAATTACAATTTTCACTAAAGAAATATAAGCTGTATTATAAATAAAAAATACCAAAAATTATGAAAAAGTTTCAATCTTCCTATCTTCTTCATTAAGTATGTAATGAAAACCCTCCATCTTTCTTCTTAAATCATTTTCTATTAAGAGTGTGCAGACCCCCAGGCCTCCAGGTGATTGGAAACTGATATTCAATACAACATTTTCTGAATCTAGACTTCCTTGCACCCACATAGTCTTTGAGATCAGCATTACTCACACATTGTCTATTGAACATTGTGTGTACCATAAAAACATCCTAGCCTTAACCTTGGGAAGCTTCCCTGTGGGAAGAATGGATAAAGGTTCTAATCCTTATATTCTCTTGTTAGACATCATGTTCTATATTTTTTTTTCTTTCAAAATAAATTCACCTTGTTATATGACACTGATAAATTTCTCCCCAAGTCTAGTGCATGTGGCACCAGCCTTGCATGACATTGGAACAATGGGAACTCAAACACATTGCTGGTGGGAATGTAAATGAGGAAAGCAATTTGTGGTGGAATTTTTCTGTATCTGCTAAAACTGAAGCTGTGCATACACTTTGAACAGCATGGCCCTTAGCTCTGTACCTAGAGAAATGGTGTCAGATTCACAACATGAAAATCCATTGCATCAGTGTGTATGATAAAAAAAAAATATTCAAAATATTCGTTCAATGTTAAATCAATAAATATTCTGAGGTATAATCATAAGGTATGAAATAGATAATAAAGTTATCAATATAAATTACACAACCACGTAGAGTGGAAATGTTATAGAATAATATATACAGTATGTATCATACGGCTTTTAGACATAAGGAAATACAAAATACAAAAATAACATTTTTTCTCTAAGCTAAAAAATGAAAATTTACCTTAATTTGAAATTCTGTGTCCTTGATGAAGTATCAGTGAGGATTCCTTTTTTGCTCAGGAAGCAAAGCCTTAAAAAATCCATACACATCCTCTGCCTTTTTTTTTTCATTGGATTGTTTGGTGTTGAGTGTGTGGGTTCTTTATATATTTTGGATAGTAACGCCTTCATGGAGCTGTTGTTTGCAAATATCTTCTTCCATTTGGCTGGCTGCCTTTTTCTTTTTTTAGTGGTTTATTTTTCTGTGCAGAAGCTTTTTAGTTTCATATAGTCCCATTAATTTATCTGTGCCTTTATTTCCCTTGCCTTTGGGGTCAAATTATAATATCTCTAAGACTAAGGTCCATAAGTTTAGTATCTATGTCTTCTTATATGTAATTTATTGTTTTAGGTCTTATATTTAGGTTTTTAGACCATTTTGTGTTAATTTTTGTACAAAAAGCAGTCTCATTTCTGTATGGTAATGGAAAATGATCTGAATTTGGGTGGTGGGCACACAATGCAGTATGAAGGTCATGTAACATAGAAAACTACATCTTATTAATCAGTCACCCGAATAATTTTTAAAAATCCAATACACTCACAGAGTGAGGTGTAGATGAAATATGTCATCTAAACTTGCCTGTCTGTTACCAGAAATTTTTTGCTAGAGTTAATTATAAGAGAAGCTGCTAACTAAGTGGATTTGATAAGCTGGGAACACAGATTTCCCTAACTATTTATGGCAATCATGCCTGTCACCTGAGGAGAGCTTGGCAGATATAGAGGGGTTAATTTTGATTTCAACATTTTCTTTACCCATTAAATATAAACAATGTTTTTAGTTTAAATGCCTTTTTTAGCACATTTGTTATCTCACAAATTGTTGAGAATAGTTAAGCAATTATTTAAAATCATTAAATGAATATTAATATTGGAGCATTTGCATTAGGGATATCAATAGTCATCATGAAATTGGAATTCCTAAATCAGTGTGTTATAAATAAAGAATGGAGAGAAAAATCAAGAAAGTAGATTATAGGACCTCAGTGAAAAATTGCTTAACATTTATTGTCAAAATAATTTAGACACCTACTCAAATCATTTAAAAATAAATACCATAAGGAATAATGAGTGTAATATAAAAATTAGAGTACAAGTAAGTAGAGGTAAACTAGCATTTATTTTCTGAAATGGGAAAATAATTATAAATAGACCAAAACCAGTTTAAAAGTAATTCATATCATTAATTCAATGAACACAGATTAACACAACTTTTGAGCTATTTTCCGTATGAGTTTATAAAGAAATAATTTCTTATGCTAAATGTTGTAAAATTTGTATTAAGTTAACATTATAATGCATTCTTGAGAATAATATACTTAATTTTAAAGCTTCTTGAAAAAAATTAGTAGGTCTTTCCATAGCTTACAAATTTGTATATACTCAGTAATTCATTTACTGAGTTTAACTCAGTAATTCCTTTTTCCGGAATTTTGAAGAATTATCTTTGAAACTTAGGTATTAATATACACAGTTATGTTATCCCAGTTTTATTTTTAATAACAAAAATAAACACTGTGTTCATCTATGGTGAATTGATTAAATAAATTATGACACAGTATGGATTACTATGCATTTATTAATGGTTTTATTTAAAATGTGTGATGAACTATGATTACAAATTATTACATAGTAATAATTGCAAGGTCCAAAAATACTATATGTAGAATTATTCAAAATGTATATCCCTAAAATATGAGAAATATGGACAGTAATTATTTTTGTGAAACTTGATTAGTGCCATCAATTTTTGTTTTCTGCATGTTATCTATGGTAAACATGTATTTCCTTTACATCAGAATGAAACCAAAATCTAAAATAATACAAACATTATAGTTTAATGACTGCAGTTACATATATATATATATATATATATATATATATATATATATATAATGAAAATGACTAGATGTTCAGATTTCACATTCTTATATCACACAGGTAAGAGTACGGCAAAGCTTTTCTTTAAAATAGTGTCAAGAAAGTGCATTCAATTAACATAGATAGCCCACTGGAAAGTGAAAAGACTAGTAAAATTTCTAGAATAATATTACTATTTTTTTTTTAATGAAAGAAACTAGAGGATCCATTTTTATTTTGTAACTAATTATACTGTATAACTTATAGTTGAAGCAAAAGCATAAATGATATTTTAGCAAATAAAATATTTTATGCTCTAAGTTCCTATTGCTGCTATGAAATATTCACAAATTTGGTAGCTTAAAAACATCACAAATGTCTTAGTGTAAAACTTTGGAGGGCAGAATCCCCAAATGAGATTCATTGGGCTAAAATTAATTTATCATCAGGCCCATGTTCCTTCTGGAAGCTCCAAGATTGATTTCTTTCCTTTTCCAGCTTATAAAAGTTTTCCGAATTTCTTAATTTGTGGCTCCATGTTACTCTGATGTCTACTTCTGTTGTCGTTTTTCCTTTATCCCTTTTCTCCTGCTATCACATGGCTTTTCCTCTCTGCTTCCATTGCAACACAATATTCTCTCACTCTGACTGCTGCTTCCCTTTTGTAAGGCCCCTTATGATTATTTTAGGCTCATAATTCGCCCATATCAAAAATCGTTAACTTAATCCACCTGCAAGGCCTCTTTTGCCTTATAAGGTAACATATTCACAGGATTCAGGGATAAAGGTATGGCCATGTTTTGGGTGCCTATTTCAGCCCAACATATGCTCATTGAAGATTAATATTAATCTGGAAGATCAACTAAAATAGCTTTTTGTGGTCTAATATAATTTTTTTTTCTCTTTGTTTGATACATGGGTAATTTCCAGTTAAATTTGTGACAATTTTAGAAGGTTAAATAAGTACATTGACTTTAGTGAATAGATTAGTTGAGAGACTAAATAGCTTTTATATATTTGACAAACTCAATGACATATCAGTGAAATATACACACAAATTATTACATGTAAGATAAATCAATAAGATACATCAAATTTATTTAGATATCTTCTTCTTAAACATCATCTTGAGGATCTATAACTTTATGAGTCTAAATACATAACATTTGTACCAGTCAAATTTTATGATTAGTTAGAAAATTTTATTTATATTATTTACTATTCAAAATACATTGACATTATTTAGTATTCAAACAAGTGTTCTTATAGTTAAGTGAAAAATGTGCTCTTGGAACCAATGAAATTAAAAGTCTAAGCAATTAACCAATCTCAGTGATTAACTGCCTCTTTTCTAAGTAAGTAGAGATTAGGTAATGTATTTAGCATGCCTATCCGCTTTCAAATTTTGAAGACCAAGACATGAATAATTACAATTTGAAGTTTTTGTATATCAATCAGGGTAGAGAAGAGTTCGATTTTAAATGCCCAGAGTTGTCATAAATAGCCCAAATTAGTTGAAATGGCCATTGATTTCCTTATAAGTACATGTGTCCTTTAACCCTGGTCTAGTTATGAATCTAGTGATGTTAATTTACAGGGATGATGGATGGGCACTATAAAAATACATATATGTGATATTTTGCATATTTAAAATGATTTTTACTACTTTTTTAAGGGGAGAGTGTCAATGCAGTTCCCGACTACCACAAGTTATTCAGCTGAGTTTCCCAAATGTGGGGAAATCTCAGGGTCAGCACATCTGGAGTGCAATGGATTAGCCTTGCCCTGAGAAAGCCCCCTTCCTGACCATGGTATCTCCTCTGCCAGGTAAGTATTGATGTTCACTCTTTATATTCATAAAACGATCCCACATTTTAACTAATTGAAGATGTTTTACTTGAAATAATGTAGTCAATTACTAGTTTAAATAGTTGTATTACTAATTATTATGTAATTAAAATGTAAATAATGCTATGGTTGTAACTAATGAATGGAACCTGAAAACCAACTAGTCAGTTGATGAATTACATACCAATTTCTGTGCTTTTGGTAAAGTGGCTCATTTGCTTCAATATAACTAAACCTCAGATTAAATATATTTCTTGAATTATACCCTTTGTGTTGTATTTCACAGCTAGGGACAATGTTCCCAGCAACTTGTTCCTAAAGTATTCCCATTTTACAAAATGTGAAGTTGAGTTAGATAAGTACTGATTATGTATTTTTTAAGTAGGTTCAACTTACTTACTTCTAGGAAAATGTGAATAAAGGTTTATCCACTAATAAAAAATATATAGTTATTATAGAACTCATAGACAGGGATTAACTTTTAACAAGTTACTCTTTATATATGCCTAGGTTTTTATTACCAAACTAGAGGACCGATGCATTAAGATTTGTGCAAGAATAGGCCTTCTTTCCCTGGCTGCCAGCACTGCCCTCTCTATGGCCCGGAGCCACCTTCTGCCTTTGCGCTGCCCAAAAGCCTGGGGCAGCCAGGGTGGGGCGGAACACCTGCAAGCATCCCAGCCCGGCCTCTGCCATCTTTGTCACATCAATTTACATATCCCCTCCTTATTGGCTGTGGGCGCCACCATCTTTGTCATGAAGTGACTGTCACTTTGCATATTCTGTCTTTATTACATAGGATATCCTGTATAATAAAGAGGTAATATGCCAATTGACCATCACTCCAACACTCCAGATGGTCACCACCCATGTGGTCAAAGATGGTTGCCCCATGTGGACACAGGATGGCTGCTACAAGATGGCCAGCAGGGGAGGGCAGTTGTGGGCGATCAGGCCAGCAGAGGAGGACAGTTGGGGGTGACCAGGCCAGCAGGGGAGGGCAGTTGGGGGCAATCAGGCCAGCAGAAGAGGGCAGTTGGGGGTGACCAGGCTGGCAGGGGAGGGAAGTTAGTGGTGACCAGGCCAATTAGGGGCAATCAAACTGGCAGGGGAGCAGTTCGGTATCAATCAGGCTGGCAGGGGAGGGTAGTTAGGGGCAATTGGGCTGGCAGGGGAGCAGTTAGGTGTCGATCAGGCTGGCATGGGAGTGGTTAGGGGTGATCAGGCTGGAAGGCAGAAGCAGTTAGGGGCAATCAGGCAGGTAGGCAGGCGAGTGGTTGGGAGCCAGCAGTCCTGGATTGTGAGAGGGATGTCCAACTGTCCGAAGGGCAGTCTGACATCCCTTGAAGGGTCCCAAATTGGAGAGGGTGTAGGCTGGGCTGAGGGACACCACCCCCATGCACGAATTTCATTCATCGGGCCTCTAGTATACATATGTTAACACATTGTATGCGGGAAACATATTTATACGTTTTACGTTGACTGGTAGTAGAGCGTGGGACACGTATTAATACGTTTTTTATAGACTAGCGGTAGAATGCGGGTAATGTATAAATACGCTTATTTTTATACTTTTTTATTGCTCTAAAGGGATGCTAACATGTGGATATACAAATTCCAAAGGACAAAATTTGGGTCTCTAACACATACAATGGTGAATTACGTATGCACTTCCAGGTATAATGGTAATCAATCTATTCAACTGCAAAAATGGCCCGCACCACCTGTTAGCGCATGATAAAAACTACCTGCAAACAATGTGTAAGATGAATTCTCTTAAAATTACTATAGTCTGTGTTGTTTGAAAGAACAGGAAATCGGGTAATGAGCTGCATAATATAGATACCATCTTTGTTTTATTTCTTTTGTCAAAGATTAACCATCATTATTTCTAATTAAGATAAATTTTAGCAATAGTATAACTATATAGTATAGAATATTTAAAATTTTTAAAATATGATAGTCATTGTTATAATAATACAAAAGAGTTAACATAAAAAAAAACATTATTTCCAATATAACTCTGTGATCAATGTACCCTCTACTGGGGATTAATTAACCTTCCTTCTAACTGGCACATACTTTCTATTCATATGTTTATACCATCATACAAGGCGTGGGTTCTGGGGTCATTCCACTCCTCAGAGCCACTCTACATATCTCCATTCTGATTCATTACAAGTTAACCCAGTCTTGATTTTTGAAATTTGTGTTAGCAGTAATATTTGTTGCTGGACATGCAATGGTAAATGATGCTGATGTGATTTAGAATTATCCTGCTATATCAGTTAAAGTTTACAATTTAACACCACAAATACACTCAACCCTAAAGCAATACTGGAGTGGAAAGGAATGTAACATTAAGAAGGGGTTTATTCTTAATCCCTAAAATTTTAATAAATAAATTGGGCTTAAAAATGCATACTCAGTATTAATGTCATGCTTGAGTTATGCATTGCAATCTATTTTGACTCATTTTAGAGTCTCTCTTTCTCTCTCTCTCTCTCTCTCTCTCTCTCTCTCTCTCTCTCTCTCTCCATCTTTCTCTCTCTCTGCATCTGTCTCCATAGATAGATGATAGATAGATGATAATAAACACATATCCCTCAGATTAAGTAATTTCTGTTAAGTAGTAGGAAACCATTTATTCAATTTAAAGTTATATTTCAGAATTTTTGGAATTCTCTCTATCCCCTCTTCTTGGTTAAAAAATAAATAAAAACGTTAAACTGGTAAATGAAAAAGAACAAATGTTAAGAACCTGAAATTATAAAAAGTGTCCTCAGTAAAATTTATTGCATTACTTTCCATTGCTGATATAACAAATTACCACAAAATTAATGGCTTAAAACAATATAGACATGGTCTCTTATAGTAATGAACTTCAGAAATTCATAATGAAAATTAATGGGCTAAAATGAAAATGATAGCACCACTACATTCCTCTGGAGGCTTGAGGGGAGATAGTTGTTCCTTTGGTCTTTCCAGATTCTAGAAACCACCTGAATGTCTTCGTTTGTGGTCCCCACTCCTTCATTGAAACAATGCCCAGGCAAATTGTTCTCACCTGGCACCATTCTGGCTCCGGCTTTTCTGTTACCTTGCACTTTTTTTTTTTAATATATTTTATTGAGTTTTTACAGAGAGGAAAGGAGAGAGATAGAGAGTTAGAAACATCGATGAGAGAGAAACATTGACCAGCCGCCTCCTGCACACTCCCCACTGGGGATGTGCCCGAAACCAAGGTACATGCCCTTGACCAGAATCGAACCTGGGACCCTTCAGTCCACAGGCCAACGCTCTATCCGCTGAGCCAAACCGGTTTCGGCTGTTACCTTGCACTTTGATTACACTGATGGAGCTCCATGATGCAGGATGATTCCACTTGCCATCATCCTTAACTGAATTAAACATGTAGAATCCCTTTGTCCTGTAAAGTAATATATCTGCAGCTTCCATGAATCAGGATTTGGATCTCTTGGGCAGGGGCATTATTCTGCCTACTACATCTGTCTTCTAAAAATGCCCAGGCTAGTATGGCTCAGTGATTAGAGTGTCAGCCTGAGAACTGAAGGGTCACAGGTTAAATTCCCTGTCAAGAGCATACACCTGAGTTGCAAGTTTGATCCCTGTCCCTGGTCAGGAGGCAACCAACTCATGTGTCTCTTTTACATGGATCTCTATCTCTCTCCTTTTCCCTTCCTTCCCTCTTTAAATGTAGCTGAAAATACATTTAGAAATACACTACCAAAGTCACACTCTAAAAAATAATGACTTGATAAACTGGATTTCATTAAAATTAAAAATTGTTGCTCTGTGAAAGACATTGTCCAAAAAAAAGGAAAACATAAGCCAAAGACTGGGGGAAAATATATTTTTGGGGGGTGCAGGGGGATAGTTTTAAAAGACATAGCTAATAAAGGGCCATTATCCATAATATACAAAGAATTCAAAATTCAACAATGAAAAGCAAACAACCCAATTTTTTAAAGTGGACCAAAGACCTTAAGAGATACCTCACCAAAGAAGATATACAGATGGCAAATAAGCATATGAAAAGATGTTCCATCTGAAAAGGCTACATTCTATATGGTTTCTTTTTGAAAAAATATTTATCATTCTAAGTATTACTTATGTTCCCTTTTTTCCCACATTGAGCCCTTCTAACCTGCCCCGCCCCTCACCCCAGGCCTTTCAACTATATGACATTCTGGAAAAGGCAAAACTGTGGAGACTGTAGAAAGATCAATTGTTGCCCGGGGTTAGAAAGAAGAGAGAAATGAGTAGGTGGATTACAGAGGATTTTTAGGGCAGTAAAACTACTCTATATGATGCTGTAATGGTGGATATATGTCATTATATATTGGTTGGTAATGCATGTAACTTGCATAAATACTACCACAAATAAAATGTAGCCAATGAACATTTACTGTTTATTAACTTAATAGTTAAATAGAGATGGTTGGGATCATTTAATTAATAATTAAAAGACATAATGCAAGGGTGATTTAAAAAAAATACTAAGTACTTAAATATGACCTTTACTCATCTGCCTCTTGTTTTCCGTTCTCTGGCTTTTAATAGTAAGGCAAGTCACAGTAGGAATTTTACATTTGGTACTTTAGTCTCTCCAGGTGATCATAAATATAGTAGCTTTGTGGAAAAGCAGTTGGCTCTATATTTCTGGGAGTCACTCTGAGAATTTTCGCCCAGGGGTTTATTATCCTGAAAGTCTTAAGAGTCATTTTCATGTCAACTATTACACTCTGCAGTGCTTTGCAATAGGGGACTCTCAGCTGATTCTACTTGTTCTCTAAGTGTCATCAACTCTAAAGGAGTCCATTATAACTAGATGGCATTCTTGTTATTTAAATATCTGCTGACAGTCAAAGAACTATTTCTGTTCTATCATGCCATTTATGAGCATTCAATGCTGGCTGAAATTTCTCAGAGATTCCTTGGGGGAAAAAAATGATATAACATTTTC